TTTTTTTATTCTAGACAACAATTAATTATTTTTGCACTATTAAGGGAATGTCAAAGTCGATGCGATTTTCCCATTGAAGCTCAATGCAAAAATCCAATCGACTTTGACATCCCCTTAAGAATTTTTCTATGCTTTTTAACATATTTTTTATGGCTAAAAAAGTTTCTTAACCCTCCATCTGATACCTGAATCCAGCCAGACCCCTATGCTTTTGACCTTTATTTCAATATATTTATATGCTAACTACCCAGTGGGCAAAAAACCATCATTGTTTTAAAAACGTTCCAAAAACGTTTTTAGAACGTTTCATGTCTGCTAAATAACGTCCCAAAAACGTTATATGGTTCTAAAATGTTTTAAAAGCAATGTAACGTTTTTGGAACATTATTTTTTAGACATGAAACGTTCTAAAAACGTTTTTGGAACGTTTTTAAAACAATGATGGTTTTTTGCCCACTGGGTAGAAACTTGTGCTCTTAGGTTGTTTCTTAAACTTTATACGCATAGTATACATATGTATATATGACGGGTTCCACGTCAAGTGACCCAGGTCAAAAATTTACATGGAATATTTGAAAAATTTGTAATTTCTTTAAAACAAAACGAAAATACGTTTTCTATTTTGGGTTTTTCTGCTGTTTTTCAACACTTTCTAATGGTGTAAACAAATGTAGAGAAAAAAAATTTTTTGACCTTGAAAAATTAAATTAAAAAATAAAATTTCATTTTTTTATCAAATGGACAGTTTTTATTTTTTAAAAAAAAATTTTATCATAAAGGTGAGATTTTTTCCTAAAAAAAATGTATTGGTCAAAACGTGGGACAAGAACTTTTAACTGGTCAAAATAAACATTTACTTCTGCAGTGCACCGACCCACAGTGGAATTTTTTTACAATTTACTATTAAAAAATGTCTACAGCTTACAATTTTTAACCGATTTGGGTGTTCTTTGTCTTAAATTAAAGGAGAATAAATTCTTAAGACATCCTTCGAGGACAATTTTAGGGATTTTAATTATTTATAATTTTTTTTTAATCAAAGTTAAAAAATTAATACACTTTTTTAAAAAAGGACGTTTATTTTCTTATTCCGTTGCTGCACATGATCTAAATTAATTCAAATTCTTCCAATATGACATCCAGATAATTACTAAAGCATAAAATAATTTATTTCAATTGTTATAAACAATATACAGCCCAACAACGCGCAGGGGCGGTGGATTGCAGAAGTAAATGTTTATTTTGACTAGTTAAAAGTTGTTGTCCCACGTTTTGACCTATACATTTTTTTAGGAAAAAACCTCACCTTTATGATAAATTTTTTTTTAAAAAATAAAAACTGTCCATTTGATAAAAAAATGAAATTTTATTTTTTAATTTAATTTATCAAGGTCAAAAAATTTTTTTTCTTTACATTTGTTTACACCATTAGAAAGTGTTGAAAAACAGCAGAAAAATCCAAAATAGAAAACGTATTTTCGTTTTGTTTTAAAGAAACTACAAATTTTTCAAATATTCCATGTAAGACCAAAAATTTAAACTTTGACCCCCTCCAGTTTTTATATTTGTTTAAATAAATTAATAATATTTGATATTTTTTATTGTATCTAACAGGACTACTGTTTGTGCAAACTTTTTACCTGATCCCAAACATTTCAAATTTGGACCTGGGTCCAAATATATATATATATATTTTTCATTATTTATTATACATATTGTACGCATATATTCAACATTTATCATAAATAGATATATTTTTCGAGAGCAAATGTTTAGACGTATCTTAAGAATGCATGCTTCCCCGCCGATGGTTGTCCACTACCGAACATCATCGATGTCTTTGACGTGCTGGGAGAAGCGGATCCACTGCCGAACATCATTGATTTCTTTGATGGGCTGGGAGAAGTGGGTCCGCTGCCAGACATGATTGATTTCTTTGATGAGTTGGGAGTAGTGGGTTCGCTGCCAGACACGACTGGCATCATGGATATGTTCGGTAGACCTTGTCGTGGTGGCGGGGCTTTTCACTAAAGGGCAACTAAACAGCAAGAAAAAATGGATTCAGAAAATTCAGAGAAGGTACCCCATGTGAGCAGGCCGGAAACGGGAAATCTCACCATCGGTCCCTGGACTAATGCTCAAGTGCGCGCGGATTGTGGGGGCGCACAATTTCTTGCAGTACCACGTGTGATCGTGAAAAGTTTAGAACCACAGAACATCGTGAAAAAAGAAAGAAGGAGAAAAGGAAGCGCGTCGAGCCTTCTGAGTGTGTCAAGTTGCAGTAGCGGAAAGACCGTACGCAGCGCTATCCACTCGGAAGTGGACGACGAGGCAATAGAAGAGAGTCGCGAGATATGCTTGCGGCTCAGAAAGGAGGAGGCGACTTGTCTCGACAAATTGGAGTTGGAGGTCGCAAAGATGATGGAGTCTTGCGACATTCAGAGGGGCGTTAAGAAGACGGTAAAAGATGGACTTAAAGTCATCAAAGTCCTGCTGAAAGAAGCAAAAGCAAAGCATGTCGCGTCCGATGAGTCGGACGTCGATTTGGCATGCGTTCTGAGCGGTGCCGAGTGTAACCGCAAGGACCGTAAGGAAGAGAGAGAGCGTTCATATAGGCGTAATCTCAAAAGCATCATAAGAGATGCTCAGAAACGGAAGAGAGAGGGTGACAGTCCAGAAGAGACTCGAACCAAAACCGATAAGAGGAAGAAAGAGGAAGCTCCTCCAATGGAAACGGAAGTACCAGATCCAAAGATTCCTCAATTGGAAAGAATTGGGTCAAAAAGATCCACAGTTCTAATCCCAGTCGGTCAAGGATTGACGTATGCTGACGTTCTAGGTAAGCTTCGCAAAGAGGTTAACCCGGAGGACAGCCATACGAGAATAGTAGCAGCAAAAGCTACAAACAAGGGGGACCTTCTGATTAAGTTCAGAGGAGACTCCGACAAGGACGCTTTCACCGCCGAGGTCACCAAAGCGGTTGGAAGCATGGGTAAGGTGCAGTCATTGGATCGAAGAGTTACACTCGAAATCCGTGATTTGGATTGCCTTACCCAAGAAGCTGAGGTGCAAAAAGTGTTGTCTGAAGCAATGGGTAAGCCAGGAAACAGGAGAGTGACGGTCTTAGGACCCAACCGCCGAGGGATGAAGCTCTCGGTTGTAGTCACCAATCTGGAAGAGGCGAACAGGCTGGAGAAATTGGGACACGTAAAAATTGGTTTTATTTGTTGCCCAATCAAAAGAAGAGTAATGGTCGTCCGTTGTCATCGATGCCTGGGATACGGCCATATTGGAGCCAAATGCCAGAAGGAGGACAGATCGGCTGCGTGCTTTAAGTGCGGTGAGGCCGGTCACAGGTTCTCCAACTGCAAAAAGAACGCAAGCTGCTTTTTGTGCACTGAAAAGTTTGGCAATAAGGTGTCAACCACCCATATTGCAGGCAGCGGAGGATGCGGAGTCTTCAGGTCGGCCCTTGAGGAGGCGAAGAAGACTCTTGCAAGGACTAAAAGTAAATGAGAAGTGTTAAAAGGAGCGAATATTTTTTAATTATTTATTTTATTTACTTTAATTATTTTTTGTAGTTTTTATACTGTCCTTTTTACATTTTTATTCTTCTGACTTTTGTACATTTGTTTATTTATTCTTCTATTTCATTTGTTTGTGTTTTTATTTAACTCGTCTTTTACAATTTGATTTTCTGACCTCTACCTATATTTATGTTTTTTATAATTGTGTTTAATAGATTAATTTTTGTTTTTATGTCCGTTTACAATTTTATCTTTTAACCTTTTAATCTTTTTAATACTTTTTAACATTTGTTCCTTTATTCTTTGACATTGGAATGGTTTTTAATTTTAACTATTGACGCAGAGGAACCGCAGAGAGAGAACAAAGTCGCATGAGCGACAGAGTCGGAGCGCCACCCTCGAAGGCTAAAGTCTTGCGACAGTTCCGAGGGTGGATAAAGGGCTCCAAAAGAAGGGTTACGGGTTTTAGTGGGTCGGGGCTGGCAGTAGGTCGCCAGTTTATTAAATTTTATTATTTTACTTATTTTATCTTTCCTTTTCTTTTTTTATTATACCAACCCCACATAACCTTAGAATGCGGAGTCCAAGGTACCTGTTTGCAGATTTCCCAAAAGTACCTAAGCGAAAAAAAAAGAATGCATGCTTAATTCTGTTTATGTGAATAATTTTCGTTTGTTTTGGTGTAATTTGAATTTCTACATTAAAGTTTTCTAATACGCGCGTGATTTTAAAAGGGTCTGCATAGTGGTCGTTAAATTTATGTAAGCGGTGTTTGATTTCTATTTATGATGATTTGTATTTTGGGTTGCTGTTTCACAGGATGGTATCGTGAGTTGGAGGAAAACGCGCGAATATTGTATGACGTAAATCTTTTGAGCCTATCAGTGTCATGCATTTAGGTGTGAAATTTAGAAATAAGGGATTAAACCCGAGGAAAGCGTTGACGGTCTATTTTTCTTTTCTTAAAAATCGAGTCATTTTTATCGATAATGTGTCCTTATCTTTTTCTTTTATATTTTTACATAATTGTGTGTGATTTTTCTCTTTTGAAAGTGTGGCGAATTTTACGTGGGCGGATTTTGAAGCGTTTTCTTTTGCTCAGGACTTATTTGAATGTGTGTATGTAGATTAGATTAGATTAGATTTTTTTATTTTGTTCCAGGAAACCATGAGAACAACCATAAAAATACAATAAATTCAAAAATATACATAATATAAAATATACAAATTCATGATACAATTTAATTAAGAGTTGTTTAACAATAATTAAATTGAAATACTTATATAAATATTATATTATACTTTAGTATAATCAAAATAATAAACAAATAATTAAAAAATATATCTATAAAAGAAACTCTACATCTTCAGACGCTCAGTGTAGTACAAAATACCAATACTTTCTGCATTCGTTATTGAACTAGGAAGAGAGTTCCAAAATGTTACAGTAGTGACAATAACAGAATTCCTATATTGTTCAGTTCTACAAAAAGGTACCCTGAACAAATCAGGGCTTCTTACTTCTCCCAAAGTAATTTCACTTCTAAAAGTAAACTTGTTATACAGATAAAGAGGCCTTCTTGTATTAATAATGACATTATATATGTGCAACCTGTAGAAAATAATAAAAAACGATCAATATTCCGAAAATAATTTCATGCAAAATAACCGCGTTAATAATGTGAACGAAAATTTTACGTATAGTAGAGATAGGAATCCGACAGAGGGAATCACGTGTGACTCATCACATGATAAATATATATGTCGTAGGCAGATAGCATAATCCGGCAGTTAGCAAACTGCCTAGGCAGTTGGCCAAGCGCGGGCAGTTTGCAAAGTGACTGTTTTAAAATGAATTAGATTAGTCATTTGGCAAACTGCCTAGGCAGTTTGCTTACTGCCCAAGACGTTTCAGGCAGTTAGAAAATTTTCATTATAAGTGTCAATTTCTGATTCTAATTTCACTTTTTATACAAGTAGAAAATAAACAAATGTAACATTTCTATAAGTTTTGTTTGAATTTCCTGAAAATAATATTGTTGTTCTTTCCAATAATATAAATAAGGCATTAATTAATTGAAAAGAAGGTAAGTACAAACATTAAATATTATTTTAGTTTGTAACAGTCCTTTGTAGACTTTAGCAGTCTTTGAAAATTTATTCAATTTAATATTAATTTAATTAATTTAATAATGGAAGTGAATGCAGTTCATGAAATAGATTTTGAAGAGAAATTAAAATTACTTTTTAAAAGCCAACACGGTAGTAGATCGATGTGGGATAAGGAGAAAGTTGATAGTGTAAAAAAAATATTGCAACAAAATGTGACGAATTGTGAAAACTTAACAGCTTTGTACCAGTATTCAAAAAGATATGAACTTTTACAAGTCGGAGGTGTATGCAACATCATTTTAAAATGGAAAAATGATTCTGATCTTTTTGTACATGTTTTTCCTATAGAGGCATATTATTCTAAATTGTTAGAAGCTCACATTCAGACTGGTCACGGAGGTCGTGATAAGATGCTGTATTTTTGAAAAATAAGTGCAACATCCCAAGATCTGCTTGCGAACTTTTTCTAACTTGTTGTCAAACGTGTGACAGGAAAAAATCAGTGCAAAGAAAAAACATTGTAGTAAAGCCAATCGTGTCCTGATGGCGAGTTTAAATGGCTCTTAAACTATCAGGATCACGCAACTAAATTTTTACATTTACGACCTTTAACAACAAAACATGCTGCAAATGTTGCTGACGAACTTAGTAAAATATTTTTTACTTTTGGTGCTCCGACTATTTTACAAAGCGATAACGGAAGGGAGTTTGTTGCTGCAATTATTGAACAATTAATATCAATTTGTCCACACTGTAAAATAGTGCATGGACGTCCACGACATCCTCAGTCTCAAGGAAGCGTTGAGCGAGCGAACGCTGATGTTGAGAACATGCTGAAAGCGTGGATGGTCGATAATAAATCGAATAATTGGTCTCGTGGGTGTTATGAAGTGCAGGTGAGTGAAATCATAGTTTACCTAAAAATTAAAATTGATTAATTGTAAATAAATATTTAAAAAATAAAAATGATTGATTGTAAATAAATACCTGAATAATAAGAATTATCAATAAATTATGTTTTCCTTTCCTCTAGTGGCAGAAGAACTCTTCAAAGCACAGAGTACTTAATAGGTCGCCGTATGAAGCTGTATTTGGAACACGCAAATTTGATTTAAATAATACTGGCTTGCCAGAAAATATTTTAGAAAATTTAAGGACTGAAGAAGAAATCTTCTTTCACAAATGGGGCAAACCCAAGAGAAAGAAGATAGGTATTTTTTAAATAAGCTGCAAATTATTACTTATGAGTCAGAATTCCTGAAAGGAGCCACCAAATATCTGAAAATATTGTCAGTTATACTTCATTTCAAGATAAATAAAATGCAACTTGAAAAATTTAATTCAATCAATAAGTTTTTGAAACATTCATTTTTCAATTAAAGTTTCAAATTTTGAATAGTGAATAACGTTAACAAAAAATTTTTTTTTGGGAAATCCTTTGGTAGTATCATTTTTTATATAAAATACTATTAAAATAACCACATTAGTACGAAAAAAAATTAAAAGGTTTTGGGTGGCTCCTTTCAGGAATCTTGAATTTTAGAATTATGTAAAATGATAGGTAATCCAATTTTTTTGGTTTTAGTCAATTTAATATAAATCATCCCTTTCCTCAAACTTCTTCAGAAACTTCTGTTTTAATGGAAATTGAGCAAGTTCAACAGGAATTATGCACATTCTGCGAAAAGCTTCTGGAACTGAATTGTGTTATTCGTTTCGAAAAATGCAATGTTAAAATGCATGACAAATGTGGAGAGTTAGACTTGAACACAGAAGCTAACATAATTTGTCCATTATGTGCTAGAGGGAATTCCTTGATCAATATACAGAACGATTGTTATGAAAGGCAAAAAAGGAGAGCGGAAAAGATGGTTACGTTTTCGGCGGAAAATTTCCAACCACTAATTATTGGAGATAGTGTTTCTCTTTCAGTTCCTAATGTAGACCGTGGACCTTTCGATTTTAACAACATTTTAGGAATAGTGACTGTCATCCAAAACGGAGTCTATAAAATAGGGACACAAGAGGGAATCATAAATGGATGGTTTCCTCGATGCGATATTCAAAAGACTGGGTCTCAAATAATTAGTTTAAGTAATGTTAATAATGACAACCACATTTCCTTGAGAGAAGCTGCTTCTATGCAGTCAATAAGTGGTGGTCAGGGCATAAAAAAATGTAATTGTAAAGCTGCAAAAAATCAGTGCAAAAGTAATCGTTGTTCTTGTTTTAAATAAAATATATTGTGTGGTTCTAGGTGTCATAAGTCAGGGAATTGCTGCAACAAGTAAATTGAATTTTTCAATTACATTGTTCAAAATTATAAAGAATAAAAGAATGAAAATTTTCTAACTGCCTGAAACGTCTTGGGCAGTAAGCAAACTGCCTAGGCAGTTGGCCAAATGACTAATCTACTTCATTTTAAAACAGTCACTTTGCAAACTGCCCGCGCTTGGCCAACTGCCTAGGCAGTTTGCCAACTGCCGGATTATGCTATCTGCCTACGACATATACAAACACAGACTAGTGGAAGAGTAGAAAAATTAATCAGTAATAATAATCCCGGAGAAAAGAAAGATTTTATTCGCGATAATGAGATTTATGAAATTCCTTCGAATGATTTATTTTCTAATAATATAATTAATGAAAAAGATATTGATTTAAATGATTTAGAGAACGATAACTTTATTAATCAATTGGATATGACGTACTCGAAAAGTGAAAAAATAATGACGAATTCGGAAGATTTTATAAAAAACGTCTATGAGATTGCTAACTCATTAACGAATTTAATGCTAGAAGGAGTAACTGGGGTGTCTGGATACCCCAAGCAAAGTTCAAAGTATTTCCATGGCTTAAGAGGTTATATACAGTCAGGCGGTCGGAAAAATGCAGTTTTTCAAGATTTTTTTTTGGAAGGAATATTAACTTATTAAAGCGAAAGTTTTCCTATAATGTTTTACATCTTTTAAAGTTTAAAAAAATATATTTCATTTGTAAAAATATTATTTTTTTTTGCCTCTGTAGATTATCTCCCAAAGATCTACGAAAAAAAAGTGCCCCGCGGTGAACAAGATAACAATTGATAGAATCATCTGAGATCAAAAAGTGAAATAGATTCTGTTAGTGCATGAGAAAATGTAGTCCTTGATCGTTGGAATTAAAAAAATATCAATTTTTGACAAAATGGCAGCCGAAGAAAAAAAAAGTTCATTTTTATGAAGAAAAAAATCGTCTTCAAATGTTGATTAAAATTATAATTTTATTTAAAAAACCAACGATCAAGGACAGCAAAAAGTAGTTGTTGAGCTTGTGTGAAAATTAGAGCTAAATCGGTTCAGCGGTTTTTGAGAAATCGTGTTCACCGACTTGAAAAACATAGTTTTGAGAAAAGCGAGTTTAAAGACGCTGCACCTGCTCTACACCCCATAGCGCGCCTTTCTAGTTTTGTCTGCAACTTCGAAAATATTTCTCGAATCTTAATAAAAATTTTTTTCACAACAGGCAAATATATATACCTTTAGAAAATGCAAAAAAAATCGATTTTTGGAAAATCGTGACTGTATATAACCCCTTGAAGACGCTGCACCTACTCTATACCCCGCGGCGCGCGTTTCTAGTTTTGTCTGCAACTTCGAAAATATTTCTCGAATCTTAATAAAATTTTTTTTTTACAACAGGCAAATATATATATATATATATATATATATATAGATAATCACTCTGGTTAAAATAGTATCATTCGAGAAAAATATTGGTTCTTAATATTTATTTCAATTAAATCTGTTAAATTTTTTTGCGTAATTTAGTCAAATTTTAATATAGAAATACATTTTTTAATAATTTCGAAACTCTAAACTCAACATTTTTTCGAAATACAATTAAAATATTTTTTAATATTACTTTTGAACTTAACAAATAAAATAGTCAACAATTTATTGTTCCGATTTTCATTTTTTAGGCTATTACTTTTTCCTTCAATTTTATTTTAAATATTAAAAGTTTGATAAGATTAAGTACTTTTTATGTGTAACAAACAATTTTCCATGGAATGTGGTAAGCACATATAGGGCTCTCAGATTTTTTTTTAAGTATAAGAGTATCATCCAAGTACTATCTAGAATATTTTATAAGCATGTTCGAAGAATTTCTGCAAAAAAGTTATTTCTGAAAAATTTTTTGGCAATTTTTCTACATGAGTACTCTTACTTTCAACATTTTCATCAATTATTAATTGCATATTGTCTAAATCGTGTACATCGATCCTAGAAAGGTAAATTGCTAGGTACTCAGATCGGGGTTCTGCATACAAGTATTGCGCAATACAATCCGACAATGCCATGGCATTGTCGGATAAACTCAGATTTTGTTAATACATTGAAATTAAACTCATTCCAGATTCTGCGAATTCTTGATAATGATCGTTTGTTCATAATGGGAGTTATTTGCACAGAAAAAAAAGTGTTAAATTTGTTGCGTGTAGTTTTCAGGCGGAGTTATTTTAACACGACTCTGGGGTTACTTTAACACGACTCTGGTGTTACTTTAACACGACTTGTAGTATTGTTCTAATATAGTAATAAAAGTTTTTGGAGCAGTAATTTTTTAATAAATTGTTGTAAATATTTCAAAAATACTTCATAGTTATTATATTCCTGAGTAATTAATGATTGTTATTAATACAGTATTTAATTAGCAGCTGATAGGTAACTTACGTTCAAAAACTTAAAGCATGCAAAGTTAATTGATTGATACTGATAATCAGGAGTGGCTGACGTGCAGAAAGCAGAAGAAATCTTGATAGGTTAGGGAATGAGCATGAGAGCGATATTAAATTAATTCATAACAAGCTGTAAAAGTATTTCTACAATAGCTATTATAAAAAAGGCCAACGCACAACTGCTTCGCGAACGTTAAACGCGGTATTACCTTAAACGCAATTTTGACATTTGTCCGTAAATTTGTTTTCTACGCACAGAAGTATAAATACGTCCTAAAGGCTAACGCATAATGAATATGGAACGCGAACAGGGCATTGAAATAGAAAATAACAATGACAGCTTGACATAACCTCAAACTGAAAAAGGGAAATTTTCTTAAAGACTTTAAGTATATATATTTAATATTTTTATATATATATATATATATATATATATATATATTGTTTGAAAAAATTAAATAGTAACTATAATTTAAAATTGTAAACCAAAGATATAAGGACTTAATTGAATAAATCTTATCTGCTGACAACGTTTGTCTCAAGGAAATTTTCTTAATGAAAATTAAACAATTTAATCTTCAAAAATGTTTGCCACGAACAAAATATTAAAAAAAATTGCATCCTTTAGTATAAAATTATTCACGTCATGAGTAACTTGACATAAAAAGTTTTTTTTAAAGCATTATTTAGACAATTTTAGAGCAAATAAGGCAAATAAGTCACCATTTATATTTTTCATAAAAACATTTCTTTATTAATATCCTGTTCACATTTTTCTATTTTTACAAATAAAAGTTTTGGAAAACTGTATTTTTTTATTTACTGATTTTGAATTTCGCACTTTTATTTATTGAATTCTTTTCCTTTTCTTTCTTTTTCAGTGTACAGTGAAACTTATTTTTCTAGCATTTTTTTTGACTGTTCAACTTCACCCAGAACAATTTAAATCTTTAAATCGATATATTCAAATTTACAATTCTGTTGTTTCTTAAAATTTTTTTTGCATTTCAAAATTCCAGACGACCAAGCTGATAAATCCACTTTCACAACGTAACTTCCATTTCTACTCAGTGTGTCTAATTCTTGAATTTCGTTTATTAAAAATAATTTCCCATCAGCTGCCAGGTATATTAATTCTCGAATAGAATGTCGATAAATTGAATAATTAATTTGTTAATCCTAAATGCGAAATTTGCACCATATCCTTAGGTGCAATTAGTAATTGAAGGAAGAGTTTTTCATTTCCTGTTGATATGCTCATTACATTTGTATTCGATCGAACGCCAACTTCCGTAGAGGCCTCCACTAGAAAACAATAAATCATTTTTGGAAAAATATTGTGCAATCTATTTCGGAAAGTGTTTAAGCTGGAATATTAATTGAATCACAAAGACGAATTTCGGCCTTATTCATTTTTTAAACCAACATTTGATGATGAAACGCAAAATAACTCCGTTTGATAATTGCGGCGAGTCCCACCTGAAGAAACACAATTTGTATTGACGATTCAAAAAAAAAATTCCAAATTTAATATCTGCATTGAGAATTTGATTTTACCTGATATAATACTTTACTTTCTATATTTACCGGTCAATATTCTATTTGTCATTATTCAGAAAAGTCTGAAAAGGTAAAATTTCTCACTGTTGACAAATAAATTACAAAAACATCCGTCAATGTCTAATTCGTAGAGATGTCCTTCCAATTATACTTAATCAATTATTTGATTATGAGAATTTGTATTGTCAATTTTAAAAACGGAGCGAATTATTTGACTGAAAGGACAAGAGCAGTCCTCGATTTGATTAAAGAAACGTTTCACATTTTATCGAATATATCAGAGTTCATCATTATTCCACAATTTTGTTGGCTGTTCAACTCCACCCAGAACAATTTTAATTTTTAAAGCGGTATATCCCATTTTACAATTCTGTTGTTTCTTAAAATTTTTTTTGCATTTCAAAATTCCAGACGACCAAGCTGATAAGTCTACTTTCACAACGTAACTTCCATTTCTATTCAGTGTGTCCAATTTTTGCATTTCGTTTATCAAAAGTATTTTTCATCAGCGGCCAGGTATTTTAATTCTTTAATAGAATGTCGATTAAATGAATAATTTATTTGTTGATTTTAAATACGAAATTTGCTCCAGAACAACATACTAATGTACACTCTCGTAATTGAGGAATAATGTGCGACGAAAGAACTGCAGAAGTGTTAAGTTTCCATAAATCCAGATGAAAAATAGAGAAATTTTCAATGATAATGTATTAATAATATGATGTTAATTGTTGTGTTATATAATTAAATTTTTGTTTTTTACCTGATTTAATGAATATCTCCTAAAGCTTTTTTAACAATTATAAATTGTCTTTCATTACACTGATGAGTATGGAAAACGTCGTGGGAAATGACGTCATTAAATGTATAAGCCTGAATTTCATCAAGAATTTCGATCTCGTAAGCCATTATAGATAAGTTGTGTTCTATTGTTATCACTTTTTTACAAAGCAATACGACCACCTCATTTTCCAAGCAAATGAAATCTATTGCCCTGAATTCAGGTAAGTTCCTCTCATCATAGCCAACTGCAATGAGACATTTCTTAGCCTCATACTTTATACCATTGAATTTAATCCATGTTGTCGAATAAACATGTGTGTTGTTGCGAAAAAATGTTCTAAATGGCTCACTGTCAACATCAATTAATTTTTTTGGTCCAGTTTGTTCAGCATATTCCAGGACCTCTTGCACAACTGATGCCTGGAAAAGTTGGTGTTTCTTTCCCAATGTTATGGGTAGGTTTTTGTAGGTCCTTTTGAACTGAGCTTCTCTTTTGAATTGCTGATGTTTGGCCTCTTCTCGAATTGTCACGAAATGACTAACGGGTCCCAATTTTGTGATAAGCATTGGTCGATGCAACAAAAAATGTTGTTTAGGAGTTAACGGAATTTTATAAATATCTTTGAATGTTTGCAGATATTCCCCAATTGTAAATTTTAAATAACTTATCATGGGAACAATAATTTTATCTCCGAAAGAAATGCATAATATTTGTAACAGCATCAGGAAATTTTGATGCGGTGGATATGCTTCTGGTACATGGTCAGCAAGAATAAGAGGTAACATTGTTACAAGCTGCCACATTTGCGAAGCATTTTGTCGAAATTCTTCGTCTTTGTTTATTATCAATTTTTTCTTTATTATTGATGGCTTGGATGACTTTTCTGAATATTCAAAGTCAAATTCTTGAATTTTTTCATTTAAAATGTCCAGAGTTATAAACTCATCTTCAAAACAGATTTTATTTGGATAACATCTTGTTGTTACAATACATATACCAAGCAAATCGTCATGCATGAGATCAGGTGCCGTTATAGTAGCATGAGAACCAGTTAATTCATTTAATTGACATCTCCTGTTAATTCCATACTCTCTACTTAATCGTATTTTTTCTGCTTCATCTTGTGCATCTTCTATTTCCTGAGTTTGCCTGTCATGGTTTTCCGGAGTTCTTAAAAGAGTTTGATCCTCTTCCGTCATTGTTCTAATTTGATCCCTATCAGCCATGCAATATCTGCAAGGACGGTAAGTGGCAAAATGAGATTCTTTATGCCCCCAAAGTTGTCAAACACCAATATTATCGCCTGAAGGAAGAGACAAAGTGCAGCTAAGTTCTTCACCATTGGGAAGTACAAACCCTTTTTCCATTTCCTTGAAATCCTTAACGAAATATTGCAATATTTTGTCCATCCCATATTTCTTTACGTCTTTGTAACGAACTATTCCACATAAATTTATGAACTTTAATTGTGAACTATATATTCGCGACATATCTTCGAGAATCCAATAAAGAAAGCCTAATTTATTTTTTGTGCCACCTTTTGATCCCAGAGTGTCGCACATATCGGCTTCGTCATAGTATAATCTTATCAAAAGAGAATTTGGTTTTTGTGCTCTGAATGGATGACTTTTAAAATGACTTCCATCCATGTAGGAAGCTAATACGCGATCATCACGTTGTTGTGGAATATTTATTAACTTCTGAAAGTCACCTTTTTTAAGCCAATTGAGTAAAACGCTACTTATTGGAGTATACACCAACTCGTCTACTTGACAACTGTGACATTAAATTTATTATGATTGATTTCAATTGATTAATTAATAATATTTAAAAACACAACAAAATTAATTATTAAAAATTAATAATTTTATAACTAATTCATTATTAAAATTCAATTAATGTTACATGTAACTATAATAAATTTACATTTCAAAGTTGGCAACAGTTGCCTTCAAGTCATAAGGCCTAAGCACAACTGTTTTGCAAACGCAAAGAATGAGTTAGAAAAGGACAGAGAATAGATTTGACCAATCAAAACAAGTGGTAAAAAATCCAGTCATCTGATTGGTCAAAACTGTTCCACTATTCTACTAATCTACCACCATGGAACTGCACTCTAAATGTTGACATGAAAATTGGAATTGAAGAATCGCCGTCAGCCGTAAGCACATAACCCAACCCAACCCTGAAAGAAGAAGAAATTTCTAAACAGAGGAAGAAGAAGCAAGTGAATAAACTCGTTTGTTTGAAACACTGAATTGTCTCTATTATTAATGTAAGTATTCTTTTTTCTACTATTTTATGATTATTAAAATTTATAAGTAAACCAATTACAATGAAAATTAGGAATTTAAATCTTTACATAAAAAGAAATATTTCCACCAAATATTACGTCAAAATATTCAGTAGCTTTTGAAAGTACACTCTCACCTCACTGCCTGCCTGCGCAGGCAGGCGCAATGAGAGTGAGAGAGAAAAAACATTTAATTTGAATTTTCTGACTCTCTTACTCTTATCCCACATAGCACAATAATTTTCTGCAAATTTGTGGCAAGTTTTCAAAGCCAAATTTGAAAACTTGCTTGGAAAATTTGCAGCAAACTTGCGGTAAATACCAAAATGTCCGTTTGGTGGCAAGTTTGCAGAGCAAATTTGCAGAAAACTTGCGTGGCAAACTTGCAGATAATTTTGTAGTAATCTTGAGGAAAATTTGCAGCAAACTTTCAAAAAACCTAAAAATTTCAAAAAAAATCTTTTTGTATTCAAAATGTAAGTATTTTGATAAACGTTGTCTTCCCTAACAGGGAAGGTGACATAAATGTAGTGCGCAGCTCTAGATGTCATAGAAAACTACTGCGCATCCATTTAACATTTACTTTGCCATGCAAATTTTCTGCAAATTTGCTCTGCAAACTTGCCACCAAACAGACATTTTGGTATTTACCGCAAGTTTGCTGCAAATTTGACAGGCAAGTTTTCGAATTTGGCTTTGAAAACTTACCGCAAATTTTCAGAAAATGATTGTGCTATGTGGGATGCGTTACCGTGACAACCTGCAGGCAGGCAGTAGGAGCTGTGCTAGCGCCTTCAGATGTCAAAATTTTTAAAAAAATTTGAAATCGATATATCTTTTTTCCATTTTAACCAAATCATTTAATTCTTTTTGGAAAAAATTCAGCATACAAAAAAGAAAAAATTGTTTTTATTATTGTGACGTAGTAACTCCGTCAAATACATTTTCTTGTTATTTTGAATTTATAATTTTTACGTGTAACTTCGACTTCGAGTTTATGGGAGATGAAAACTCCCCTTTACGATTCGCTCGCGCGAATTAAAATGTAGCAGACGACAGAAAGAAGAGAGTTGAATTTTGGTTGTCGTAGTAGTGACAAGTGAGGAGATTTGTTAAGAGATTTATATTGAATTTATGTAAAGAGAAAGAAAATAAGTGAGGTTGAATAAATAAGAGTTGAAAAGTTTGTGTGACATATTAAAAATTTTAATAGTCCTATAAAGACGAAAGGATTGATAAATCAACAATAAGACAAGTAAGTAGAGTTTTACTAAAAAGGTCGTGTCTCTGAAATTAGATTTTCCCTTTTCTAATTTTCCCAACGGAATCTCCTTTGAGATTGTTAATTTTGACTAGTGAGAAGTATTGACAAATTATTATTATTAATTACTGATTCTCTGTATTATTGTTTTTGTTAGTTTTTCGACAAATAAAACTAACTGGCGTCTGACATGCCATGTTCGGTGTTAAATTTGATTTTTGACGACTAAGGGAATTAATAAAATACTTGGGATTTTGTATATTTTCTAAATTTATTATTAAAAGAACCGTCATAAAATTTGGCGCCCAACGTGGGGCCCATTTGTTGGGAAATTTACGAGACACGACCAGAAATTATTCTATGAAACTTGACTTGTGAATTTTTGACTTGAAATTATTTTTGTGACATGTATTTTTGATTGGACTTGGGAGAGGAGAAGAATTTATATGTATTTCTATATGTGACTTGGGAGAGGAGGAGATTTACATGTAAATTGTTCTTTTTGTTGTATTTGACTTGGGAGAGGAGGAGATAATTGTGTAAAATAAAACATTTTTACACTTGAGAATTTTTGTTGACGGCATGGCGAAAGACGCCATAACCTCAATTTAGACATTTTTTTTTTGAAGTTGAATATTTCATGTAATTCCTGGACGATTTCAATAATTTTAATTTTGTTAGTATCAGTGAATTTTTCTTTATTTTTCGCGAGCAATAAACAATTTTTGTCATTATTATTTAAATAATTAACCAACACGTGCTTGGTGTTGAATAAATTATAATAGTCACGTGACATATAGCGCATGCGCGTAGTGATAATTTTTCGCATCATTTTTCAAATTCATTCTCGTTCATAGAAATTGGCAGTCATTGGAAAATTTAGACTAGAGAAATTATTGCGCATGACAGAAATTAGTCACGTAGACTCGAAAACATCACTCATACAGAAATTGACAAGAGAAATTTGACTTGGGAAAGGAGATGAAAATTTCTGTCGCGAGACTGTGAAAATTTTAAAAGGGACCAGGGCCGTATTAAATGGGAGACGTGCCCCCTTTTTGTTAGTAATTAACAAATTTTCAAAATTTTTATCCTTTTTTTGAGTTTGATGAAGAATAAAATTAATTAAATAAATTATTGAATAATATCAGGACTGTATATAGTGTGTGTTAGGCCCTAAAAATTAATTTTTATATTTAATGTTTGAAAATTTTTTTTTCAAAATTTTTCTAAATTAAATTGAAATTAATTTATTTTGATTTGTGATAAAGCCTGTAAATTTAAAATTGCCCTAATTTAAAATCGACTAGGGTAATAAAACATTTTTTTTGACATTTGAAATTGTTTAAATTATTTTTTTTTACAATTGAAATGGCTCACGCTATAGAGAAGATGATAGATTATAAAGAAAGAATGGCAATACTTTTAGATAGTCCCGAGATAAGAGATATCTGGACATCTATTATTGCCATGCCAGTAGGACAAATAGTGACAATGTTACTTGCAAAACAATTGTCGATTGCAGGAACATTAGAAGTGTTGAGAGAAAGATTGTTCCGAATTGAATTAAGAACAATTTTTACAGATGAATTAGACATTCCTTTTTGCCAAGAATATGACTGTGGGAATTCAAGTAAAATTTTCCTTCTTGAAGCGTATACACCACCCAAGAAGGAAGAAATTCCCAATGTTTGCCAGACAAGGGGTACAGGAGTGACAAGTGATAGTGGTGAGGAAATTGACAGCCCTAAAATTATGAATTTAGGTAATTTGGGTGAAATTGACAAAAATCAAGAAACGTTAGCAAGGAGGGGGGAGAATAGTTTAATGTACAATAGACAAAGTCCCTTAAGTATGAGTCATACACCAGTAATGACTACAGCTAGTATCCCTACTACCTCGATTTTGACAACGACTTCCCATACACTTTCTTCACCAATTACTACAACGGTCATGACTACACCCCAGCCAATTATTTCGGCTACAATGGCACCAAATGTCATTAGTTTACAACAATCGGTTTCAAGACTCAGTATTAGTCCCGAAATTAGACAATTTATTAAATTAAAAAAACAAATGACTAATACTCTTATACCTATCGATGAGAATAATGTCTACATGGGATTAGGAAATAATTTTGAATGGCCACCAAATGATATGAACCCTCAATTAAAAAGAGAAAAAGTCCAACATTATTATCAAAATCAGAATTTTGAAAATAATGACAAGATAGATGTTTCTCAACCCATTCAAAATAAAACAAGAGAAAGCAAATGTGATAGAAATATTCCTCAACCAGTACAGACAAATAAAAAAATTCTGTCCAAGGGGGGAATATCAAACAACGACAGTGATAGCGAAAATGACTCTGACAAACCCGACAAATTTTTGACTAGGGAGAAAAAGATTTCTCAAAACAAAGATAAGTACAAACGACGAACTAATAAAAAATATAAAGAAAAGAATGTACGAAGGACATTATTTACGGATTCATCAAGTGACTCTGACTCGGACATTTCTAGTGCATCGTCGTTAAAATCAGACAAAAGTATAGCAATTAATAGGTCAAAAACAATTAAAACGTTAATTAATTGGGATATTAAATTTTCGGGAGATGACAATGCTGACCCTGAAGATTTCCTCAACAGACTAGAAGATTGCAAAGATTGTATGGTAATTGACGACGATGACTTAGTGCATTCAATTCCCAGTATTTTAAAAGGACAAGCAAGTCGTTGGTATAGGACTATCAGACGAGAAATCGACACATGGAAGATGTTCAAGAGAGCTTTTCGACGTGAATTTTTAACAACAGTTGACGACGACGAGGTAATTGATGAACTCAGGGCTAGAACACAAGCAAAAGGAGAAAAGATTTCTTCATATTTGACAAGTTTAAGACTAATAATGGGACATTTAAAGAGACCATTATCAGTCAAGCAACAAGTTAAAATTGCTTACAAAGGCCTTACGCCTACTTACCGCAGACAAGTTGACTCATCGAGTTTAGAATCACTGACTAAACTAGAAAAAAATTTACGACAATTTGAAAAAGTTAAAGACTTGGACGACAGATATGTTCCCCCACCATCGAAAGACAAAATGCGTTTTCCAGCCGCTGCATTCCATGGTACCAAGAAGGACGATAAGACACATGGGACCAATAAAAATGAAAAGAAAGTAGCAGCAATAGAAGACGAGGGAGTTGTCGAGACAAGTGAAGGAGAGAAGAAAAGTAAGAAGAAGAACGAAAAGAAGAAAAAGGACAAGAAGACAAAAGGGAAGAAGAAAGTTGAGAAAACTGACGAAAAAGTCGACGCTCTCAACCAAATGACCTCCACCACCAATGTGACACCAACACCAACTCCAAATCCAGCCATGTTGTACGCAGCGATGATGGCAGGAAAATGGAAGAAGAAGCAGCAAAATAACAACTTCGTTAATACTGCTGCAGGTCAAACTGGTCCAACAAATAATGCAAGTGCACCAACCCCTTTTTATGGTGCATGTTTTTCTTGTCAGTCAGTGGGACATAGGGTGTCAGAATGTCCTTTAAAAATATGTTATGTGTGCCAACAGCCAGGGCATATCGCGACACATTGCCCTAACAGAGTAAAGCAGACAGAAATTTGTCTAGTTTGTAAAACTCCTGGGGTAAATTTCTTGACTTGCCCAAATTGTATTAATGTGAGAAACGCTTTGGGAAACGGCCCATGGGGGGCGCAGTCGCTGCCTGTACCCCCCACCAACCCCCCTCAGACCCAATAATTACTATTTCTTTTGACAAAGAAAAAGTTACAGTAATTGGGAAAAATAGGGATAAATTAGACAAAATTAAAGGTTTAAATTCATTCCCTATTAATGAAGGTGCAACATGCAGTTGGGACACGGGTGACGAGATAGTAGACGACAAGAGTGGAGAGGTACCACTCATTTGGAAAGAGGATAAAATAGGAACTGAAGAATTAAATGAGAAAAACTCATTCAAACTATTGACATGGGATGAAGGAGAGAGTAAGAATGAGAAAAACTCATTTAATTTTTCATTTAGGGATATGGAGACTAAGAGTGGGGATAGTAATCGACTTTATAAGCGGAGTTTAATTGAGGGGATGAATGATACTGATAAAGGATCAGTATCAATGTTCCAAGGGAGGGGAGAGGTTGTGAAGGGCACAACTGACCCATACCTTGATATTGACCAGGATGTAGACGGAAGCCGACTGGAAAATCGATATTTCTTTCGAATGCACATCGGCAACAATTCTTATGAGGCACTATTTGACCCTGGAGCGATGATATCTGTGATCAGCGACAGAGTGGCAGAGCCATATAGGAACCGACTACAGCCATGCAATACCTCAATAAGGAGTGCGATTGGTGGCAAGACAGAGACAGCAGGGTTGTTAAAACTGAATATAACAGTTGACGGACATTCAAAACAGTTTGACGTTAAAGTTCTTAGTTCAGTTACACAAGACATCATTCTGGGCATCGACTTTTGTAAAGCTTGGAATATGGAAGTTCAACTTGGACCTGGTCTCTGGAGAGTATTTGATGGTGATTGGCATGTATTCTGTGTCAAAGATGTTATCGAGGGCGAGGAAGAAATTTATGCTGAATGTGCTGGTATCTCTGCGTTGACGGACCAACAAAAAGATATTATTCAAGACCTGGTGAGAAAATTGGTACTACCACCATCGGAAGAACTACCAATGACCAACTTGACTGAACATCACATCAGGGTAACTGACGAAACCCCTGTCCAACACAGACAAAGACGTATGTCGCCGATAATGATTACTTGGTCACAGAAAAATACAGCAGAATTGTATAAGAAAAAAGTAATCGAGCCATCATGCAGCAATTGGAGGACAGCTCCAGTTTTGACGCCTAGAGGGAATGGTGACTTTCGACAATGTTTGGACTTCAGAGACGTTAATAAGGTCACAATAAAGGACATGTACCCATTGCCGACCATTGACTCTATTTTGGACAAATTGAGAAAAGCCAGATATATCTCAAAAATTGACTTGACGCTAGACGCTAAACACCGAAATGGCGTTCCTAATAAAACATTATTTTTAAAGAGTGTACACTACTTTTAACTTATACAAAGCAATATTTCTATAGTTTAGACATCATGGAACAAGATTATCACAATAAAAATTTCAGTTTTTGGGATTTTCAATGTTTTTTCAAACAATGAAATAGTCAATTTTTACCACTTTTCACCAAATGGCGTTCCACTTTTTTTCAATTTTTACACAGTAAAACTCATATTTTTTATTTAAAAAATAAATTTACATACAAAGCATTATAATATAATAATGTAATAAGTAAAAAATAAATATAAATAATTAATAAATAAAATTTAATAATTATTAATAATAACAAAAGTGGAACGCCATTTGTTAAAAAGTGTTAAAAATCGACTATTTCAACGTTCAAAGAAACATTGAAAATCTCAAAAACTGAAATTTTCATTGTGATAATCTTGTTCCCTGATGTCTAAACTATAGAAATATTGCTTTGTAGTAGTAAAAAGTAGTGTACACTCTTTAAAAATAAAGTTTTATTAGGAACGCCATTTCGGTGTTTTTGCCAGTCTGGGCCTCGGCGCGTGGAACGCCATTTGGAACGCCCCGCCAGTGAAGTGGTTAAACCAAGTTCCAGATGCATTATCAAGAATGACTGAAGATGACGAAATGATTGACGCTTTTGAGACGATTGAGGATCAATGGTACATCAGACGACGGGAAATGATCAGAAAATTTCCAAACAGATTTCCTGGTTGGAGAATTGAAAATGACCTTTTATACCGTCATCGTAGTGATCCTTTACTCCTCCCTATTATTGGTGATGAAGACGGATGGAAACTGGTTGTGCCAGATGAACATAGACTAAGGGTGTTAGACGATGCTCATTCTATTCCATCTGTGGGACACTTAGGAGTGGAGAAGACTTATGACAGGGTTGCAAGGGAATACTATTGGCCAGGAATCTGGAATGACGTACACAAGTTTGTCACTCATTGTGTAAAATGTCAATTACATAAAGTATCTCAAGCTGGACCTGTAGGAATGATGGGACAGAGAATAGTAGAGAAACCATGGGCAGTAGTTGCAGCTGACACGATGGAATTTCCACCAAGTAAAAGTAAATGCAAATATCTTGTTGTTTTTCAAGACCTGTTTTCGAGATGGATCGAACTAAAGCCATTAAGATCTGCAGATGGGAAATCAGTGACTAAGGCCTTCGAAGAATTAATCCTCTTCAGATGGGAAACTCCAGACTTCCTCTTGACTGACAATGGGAAGGAATATGATAACAAAACTCTCAAAGAAACACTTGAGGAATATGGGGTAAAGCATATTACTACACCACCTTACCACCCTCAAGCTAATCCGGTAGAAAGAAGCAATCGGATTTTGAAGACAATGATATCAACATTCATTGGAAATGATCATCGTGACTGGGATTTGCATATCCATGAATTTCGACATGCAGTCAACACTGCAACCCAAACTGCTACGAAAACATCCCCAGCATTCTTAAACTTTGGTCGACATCCTCGACCAGTGAAAAGTTTAAAACGAGAAGTTGAGAGTAGAGACAAAGTACATAGAATTTCACCTGAAGTATGGATTGACAGGGTTAAAAGACTTGACGCATTACGTGACTTAGTAACAAAATTTATTGACAAGGAGAAAAATAGACAAACTGAGTATTATAATAAAAATCGACATGAAGTGGACTTTAAAATTGGTGATTTAGTACTTAGAAAATCTCATAAATTATCGAGTGGGGCCCAAAAATTTGCAACAAAATTAGCTCCGAAATTTGAAGGCCCATTTGAAATTATTAAGCAATTATCTCCTTCAGTTTTTATATTACGTACTCAAGATAGTCGCAGAAATCCTAAAATCCATGTTACAGACCTAAAGAAATACTCACCTAATTAAATTAATTGCAATTTTTATTAATTATTTAATTATTTTTAGGCTCTGACTATTTTTGACTTGGGTGGAGTTGTGACGTAATCCTGGCAGAGAAGGTTAGATCTATAGACAAAGGGAAGAGGAGGAGACAAGTAAATTTTCAATTTCGGCCATATTCCAATCAAGCAATGATGTCACGACGAGGTTTAATGAGAAGAAGTTCTTCATCTAAACATCGACCTACTGAGGAATTTAAAATGCCGGAGGGTTATTCATCGTCACCATCTTTGTTAGACTTCCCAGTACATGACTCGGGGAATGGAAGGTCATTAGGCACTATACCTCATCGGCCTCACGACAACCCAGGAAAATTGAAGGAAGTGGAAATCAGTGGACTAGAAATTGTTGACCCAATCCAATTACCGAAAGCGACTATGGAGGACACCGTTTTAAAACGACAAGAGGGTGAAAGTTGGGAAGAATTTGGAAGTCGACTTGCAGTTGATGAACTTGACAGATTCGTCAAATTTCAAGACCCTAAATCTTCGGTTGCAGTGGAAAAATTGAAAGAGAAACAATCCGAGAAAATTAAGTTACGGAATCCAGTACTTAGAAAGGAAGACATAGTACATCCAACTGACGATGACGAAATTGAACACCCTAGACCAATTACACCACCTGGTCCTCCAAATAGACCTGGGATGGACATGTTGACGACACGAGTGAGAGGAGTTGGAGAAAAGACTTTTCCTCAAGGACAATACGAGGCTCTACCAAGGAAAACGACCGGGACCCTGTTTAACGACTTGGAATCAATTCCGACTGACCCTACTATTGATCCACCTCCTCGAGTATGCAACAACTGTTGGAGAAAGGGGCATAACCGTTCCAAATGTCCAAAACCTGTCACAGAAGCACATTGCGAAAACTGTGGAAGGAAATACCAAACAGTAGCCACATGTCCCCGCTGTGCTAAAGGATATCGGAAGTTCCTGTTAGCACAAGCCCAGGGAAATTCGAATAAGGAGAAACTCTCACCGAAAGGAGACAAGGAAGAAGAAGAAGTGGAAAGACGTCCAACAACGTTTCGACGACAAGGAAACCCTCTATTACCTACCATGTGGAAAGCAGAAATAAATTCCAGTGTGGATAAGGATGGTCATGATTCCCATGGAAAGGCGTGGAACATTCCGAAGACACCTTCGCCACCAATGACTAGACGCCCGATTTTATTTACTTCTGGAAAGAAATCAAAGGAGGAGGAAGCTGCTGAGGATCGGAAAAGATCAGACGATCTTGAATTGACCAGGGAAGATGACAAAATTTCTAAATCATCTTGTAGTGACAATGATGACCTGCCACCTCCATATGAGTCGACTAGGGAACAAGCGATACCTTTAGTAAAAGCGATCCAAGAAGTGACTATAGCAATGAGAGGTTTGCCCAGCGAAACGATTAACTTAGCGATTCAACAGTTAATCAAGGAACGACAAATGGAACTGGAGGAAAGAGTACACAAGAAATAAGTGAGATGTTTTGTTAAAGACAATAAGTTTAATCAAGACCTTGATATTTTTTTTTAAATTAAAATTAAGTTTTTTTTTTTATTTGAACATTTTGAGAATTATTGAGATATTATTTTATTTTGTATTTTTACGTCGGATAAATGACGAGTGAATTATAGTAGTATTATATTTTTTTTTTGTGTGTGTAAGACTTAAACCAAAGAGTTAGTTCAAGTCTTAGTGGGGAGTTTTGTGACGTAGTAACTCCGTCAAATACATTTTCTTGTTATTTTGAATTTATAATTTTTACGTGTAACTTCGACTTCGAGTTTATGGGAGATGAAAACTCCCCTTTACGATTCGCTCGCGCGAATTAAAATGTAGCAGACGACAGAAAGAAGAGAGTTGAATTTTGGTTGTCGTAGTAGTGACAAGTGAGGAGATTTGTTAAGAGATTTATATTGAATTTATGTAAAGAGAAAGAAAATAAGTGAGGTTGAATAAATAAGAGTTGAAAAGTTTGTGTGACATATTAAAAATTTTAATAGTCCTATAAAGACGAAAGGATTGATAAATCAACAATAAGACAAGTAAGTAGAGTTTTACTAAAAAGGTCGTGTCTCTGAAATTAGATTTTCCCTTTTCTAATTTTCCCAACGGAATCTCCTTTGAGATTGTTAATTTTGACTAGTGAGAAGTATTGACAAATTATTATTATTAATTACTGATTCTCTGTATTATTGTTTTTGTTAGTTTTTCGACAAATAAAACTAACTGGCGTCTGACATGCCATGTTCGGTGTTAAATTTGATTTTTGACGACTAAGGGAATTAATAAAATACTTGGGATTTTGTATATTTTCTAAATTTATTATTAAAAGAACCGTCATATTATGTTTATACAAAATTTTTATAAACAAAAAGTTATTAAAAAATAATTGAATAACTTTTGAACGACCAAACGATATTGAATAAGGCAAACACTAAACAAATCTTCGGTGTGGTTTTTTTAAGATTCCAAAAAAAATCGTGCATCGTGATCATTCAATTTCGTTTGGTCGTTCAAAAGTTATTCAATTATTCAAATAAAGAATTATGTGGAAAGTATAATTCCGAAGAGCTTTCCTCACAATTTAGACAACGTTATAAAAAGTGGAGTAGTATTGCTAAGTACCCAAAAAGCCAGCATAATTAGAGAAACTACAAAAGCAATAATTCACAAGAAGTTGAGCACCGATAAAGACATAGTCGAGGATGTGGCTAAGTTGTTGTGTCAGAAGATTCCTGCATTGAAGGGAAAGTTTGGATTGAAACATGTAGGCATAAACATAAAAACTATAAATATATGAATACAATTATTAATATTACGGAATAACGCAGTAATTCATGTTTCTAGGAAGAAGTACTCACGAAAATGAACGAATGCATTAAAAACCATGCTCGGTATGCAAGAAAAAAAGATGCAGAAGACATTAGCATACAAATCTTGTGTACTGAGATGGAGAAGGAAGTGAATAGTGTTGGAGCAAAATCAATTAATGTAAAAAAATTAAAACAATTGTTGGAGAAGACACGAAATAAAAGAGGCCTCGAAAGAAATAAGAAATCAACGTCTTACATATTTACTACGTATCCAGCTCTGCGAATACAAGAATTGGTAAAGTATTTTCGAACATGACAAACTAAATTTATTAGATTCACTTCTTTTAAACAAAAAAAATAATAACAGGGTTGACACAAAAATTTAATTTTACTTCTCTCTGATTCTAGAAAATATTTTGATTCATTCTAAAAATTATTATGTACTCAAAAAAATGTTCAATCAATCAGTAGTTTCATTTAAAATAAATATTTAATCATTATTATTTTCCCAAAAGAATTTTTAAAAATTGCAAATCCAAACCTGTAATTTAATAACTCATAAGAATGTTGTTACATACTCCAAATTCTTCAAAATTATTTTCATCATTTCAATTAAATTCTTATTTTTAAAAGTTAGTTACTAAACTTCTTTTTCAAATCAATTATTCTTAATAATTTCCGACAAAGTTATTTGAGAATTTTAAAATCTATTTATTTACAATTCAATTTTATAGAATTTTGATTATTCGAAAATGCTTCAATTAAATACATATGAAAAAATAAAAACTTGAAATAATTTCAAAAATGACTAATTAAACTTTCAAAAAAATTAGTTGAACAGAATTTTTAATTAAAAGTATGCAAAATTCATATTTTTAAAGAATTTAATTTAAACCTTTTCAAATTTTAAGTATTTCTAAAAATTGCAATTAATTGTAATTTCTCAAAAATTCAACTAGTATCTAAAACTTTAACTGAAATTAAATTTTAAATACATTTTTAATAGAAAATTCTTCGAAAATTCCATTGTTTAAATTCGAAAATAAAAAATGTATATGTAATAATTGAATGTTTCTTTAAATTGATTTCCTATAAATAATATTATTAAGAAATTTTCAAATAATTAAATTCTTTCGACGAATTTTAATAGAATTTTTTAAGAATAATTGAATTCTTTTGGCGAATTCAATTAAAATTATATTAAATAATTGAAATTCTATAATGAGTTTCATTTATGAAAATAATTATATTATTGCGAAAAATTTTATAAAAGAATGTTAAACATTGATTTCTTTATAGCTGTTCAGAATTTGAATTGAATTAAGTTATGTTCTATTAAAAAAAGTTTTATTCATGTTTCTTAGTGCGAAGATTAATAATTAAAATTTTTATTAGTTAATTTAAAAAAAGATACACACTAAAATTTTTTAATAAAATTGAATTTTCCCAAAATTTATTTAAAAATTCTAAAAAATAAGATTTTTAAAATTTTTTAATTCTATTGTTTCAAGATAACTGAATTTTTGTAAACAAATAATTGAAAAATTTTGAAATAATTAAAATTTCTTTACATTCTATTAAAAATATTCAAATTCTTTTAAAGAATTTTATTTAAATTTTTCGACAATAATCAAGGGAACTTATTGCAGAATTTCAATTATTTTTAATACAATTTTAATCGAATTCCTCGAAAAATGTAATTATTCTTAAAATTTTTATTAATATTCGTCGAAAAAATTCAATTATTTTTAAAAGTAATAAAATTAGAGCTGTGCAAAATTCGAACCGAACCGAGTTTTGTTCGGTATTGGGGCGCCGAATGTGATTCTCCAATAGCTTGGAAATGTATTTCTTTTCTTTAATTTAAAAAATTGCATATTCAGCATAAAAATAATCTGTCACAAATAAGTGCAAGTGTTCCTAACCTTAAAATAGTATATTTCTGAACTTCACTTATTTAGTAAAACAAGTATGTTATAATTACAGAGTTTATTATAAGGTAATTGTAAATTTAGCCGGCAAATAGTGTTAGTTTAACCCACTGTAGTGTTAAAATCACATCGTCTGGGTTAAAAGTGTTGCGTGTTGTTTTAACACCACTTTTGGTGTTAGAATAACACTTTTTTTACATTCTCATCACATGAGAAAGTATTAGTTTTGGTCGAAAAATGACTTTCGCTAATTTCATGAAATCTTGACGTTTTGGGGTCCCCTGAGTCCGAAAATCATGGTCTAAAAAAAGTGTCTGTCTGTATGTCTGTCTTCGTGTCTGTCTGTAGACACAATGGTGTCGCCACGATAACTTTTGAAAAACTTATTGTATCAACTTGCAACTTTGCAAGTACAAAGTTACTGTTAAAATACAGATCGAGTTCGTTAGCCAGCCAGTTTCGTCGAAAACTACACAAACTACAGTACTTTCAAAATTTTGAAAACTCAATTTTTTCAAATTTCATTATTTATAACTTTTTATTACTTTAGATTAGAAAAATACGAACAACTTTTCTCTACAACATTTTTTCATCAAAAATTAATTTTTTTTTTTAAGTTTTTGGGTCAGGCTATCTTAACTGGGTTAAAATTTTTTATTGATTTTCTAATATGTTATAACTAAAATATATTCATAAAAGTTTTAACATTTTAGAAAATCATTGAAATTTTTTTTACTCAGCTGGAAAAAAAGGCCGCCATTTTCATACAAGTCGAACAAGTGAATGACTTTTACTCCCTGTCGTCTGTTATCTTAAATCGCCACTTTTGTGCCTTTGGAATAAAAAATATCTTACTTTACACGGGACTTAAAGGCTGCCTTCACGTATCTTGTTGCTTAATGTACTATTTGCTAATTTTATGAAATCTTTGCGTTTTGAGGTGCTCTGAATCCAAAAAACATTGTATGGCGATTACGTCTGTCTGTAGGTCTGTCTGTCTGTCCGACAATAATACTTTAGAAAAAATTAATTTTTTTAAAAACTTTTTTAGAATTTTTAACTTTTTGTCTCATCTTAGTGGAGGTGATTTATTTTTGCTTGTTAAAGCGATGGGTAAATTTTGGAGGATTGTTTTTATTTTCTTAGTTCAAACTTTTTTTTGAAATGCTGTGCTATTTATTATTATTTTGTTCTAATTTGGGTATCCTACCTTTGCTTTGCTTACAATTTCTAAGCAAAGAATACACGTTAATACCTGAAGTAATTCTTATACTGTTGAAAATGATCTTTACACTGAAAGAAACTTTGTTACAATATATGATAAAGCTGAAAGGAAATTTTAGTATTTTATTTTTCAAACGTAGGACATTCAGGGTTGATATCAAAGATTGATATAATTTTACGAATTGCTTTTACGGTAAATATATTCAAGAAATTGAAATTATTATTTCTTACTTTGAATTCAGAATTTTTGAATATTGATAAAAGTATACGAAAAACCAGTAGTCAGTAAATAGACGCGCCCATTCGTTATTTACTAAATTTATACGAAAATTCAGAACGATTTTTTCGTAATTTGCTAAAACTATTATATATAATATTATATTATATATATTTGCGCCCATTCGTTATTTACAAAATTTATACGAAAATTCAGAACGATTTTTTCGTAATTTTCCAAAACTATTAACAAAAAAAAGAATTACATTACATATGGTCGTGACAGCAGACGACAGAACTATACCAACAAACTCTTCGCCAAAGTTTACTCTCTTTTTTACTTAATGATAGACAACAATGGGTTTTATTTTCAACACACACATACACACAGTATCATACATAACACATTGAGAATTCACATTGGCTAACGTAATACTAACGACGAAACGCATACATAAACGCAGTGTATAAGACTTCGCATACAAATACATAATTCACGATACTGTGGAAATGTGTGAGCTCTCTTATATACTAAACAGCCAGATTATTCTGCGCTTGTGAGATAGGTGAAATTATATTTAAAAATGTTTAAAACCAAAAATAAAAATTATAATTTATTAATTAAAAATGAAGCAGTGTTTTATTTTTTGAAGAACAATTTTTATTTAACTAATTCATAGTATAATTATTAAATTTCATCATACAAATGTACTCCAGGACCGTATTTACAGGGAGACAAGAAGGGTTTCGTCTGATATACATTCTTGAAAATTACATTTTATAACTGTTATTTGTAAATTAAAATACTAGTTTAAAGTTTAAACAAATTTATAATTATTTATATTTCATATTGAAGCAGTGACAATTTTTTTAATATTAAAAGCAAATTTTTATTTTCAAAAACTAATGAAAATGATTAAAACTAAAAAACTATATTACAAGATTAAGATTTCTTTTATTTTTTAAAAAATATCAATAATTTAGTTTTTCTTAATTTTATTACATTAATTTTTTATTAATATGAATGAAATTATTTAAACAAATTAATTACAGATCGATCCAAAATTTGTTTCTTTTTAATTTTAAAAAAATTTCATTATCGTAGACTATAAATAAAATTATTGTATGTTTATATTGCAGCAGTTAAAATTTGTCTGAAATAAGACAAAGCATTTTTTTATTTTTTCTATTCATTCTGTTTATTTTATAAATAAAATAAAATTCTCTCTTATTTTAAATT